GCCCAGCAAGATGAGCACGGGGCTGACATGCTGAAGTCTGACCCCAGGGACACCTTCTTCCTCAGTAAGTGGCTGGGACCGGACCCTCGTGCATCTCCGTGGGGTTTCGAGGGAAGAACAAGGCAGGGTACCTTCTGCCCATCTCCTGGGTGGAGGGCATCTCTGCTGGGGTCTGTAAGCGGGGCAAGTTGAGATGGTTTGGGCTACAAATGGTAACGTGGGTTGGGCTACAGGGCTGGTAGGGCACGTGTTGGGGCTGAGCCACAGCTGCTTCTCCTCAGCCCCTGCGATCGAGGCCTCCCGAGTGGAGAACGTGCTGGTGCCCTGTGCCTACAGCCCCACCTACGTGGTGAAGGACTTCCCCATCGCCCGCTACCAGGGCCTGCAATTCGTAAGTGTCTCCCCGCGACGAGGACGGGGCCACGCTCCCATGGGAGACGTGGCGAGGCAGAGCGCTTTGCCCCCACCCCAGGGCAGGGGCGTTGCCACGCAGTTAAAATCCAGGAGAAAATGTCCCTCACTGGAAGATGGGGCTGAGCTTCCCCGTCTTGGACTGGGTTAAAAGCTCGGTGGGGTGTTTGAGATGCTGGAGGTCACCTTGGCGTTGAGGGGCTGCGCTGGTGGCCTTGGGTCCACAGCTCCTAGCCCTGCCAGCCCCCACTTCCTCTGAGCGAGCCCACTCTGCGCCGGGCTGACAGCGGCGTGGTCATCTCCCCAGGTCTACCTCTCATTCGTGTACCCCAACGACTTCACGCGCCTCACTCACATGGAGACGGAGAACAAGTGCTTCTACAGGGAATCCCCCCTCTACCTGGAGAAGTAAGTGTTGGGGGGCCGGTATTTGGGTGTTGGGGGGCCGGGGAGGAAGGGGCTGATATCAACGGGGCGCTAAAAGAGCTGGAGAAACGGCACGGAGGTGATGCATCCTCAGCCGTGTGTCCCCACGCTCTGTCCCCATGGAAAGAGCCACCTCCAGGCTGGCTCTTTTCCCATCTCTCGGGCACGTAGCAGCTTGAGACCTGGCAGTGCTCCTGGATTTTGGGAATCCCAGCTCCCTTCGGAGCTGGGCCGCGCCCGGGTGCCTGCGCTGCAGCCGGGGATGTTCTTCGCGTGCGTGCGAGCACGTCCCTTCGCGCATACGCCCCTCCCTTGTCTCCGGGACCTCATCTTTCCTCTGTCTCCCAGGTTTGGTTTTTATAAGTACATGAAGATGGATGAAGAGGAGGAGGATCCACGCCAGCGAGCGTTTCTCTTCCTCAACCCAGACAGTGAGTCACCGCTCCCCGCTGGC